TTACTTTTATTAAACCTCATGAGCCATTTCTTGCTCCACTCGTCCAAAAGACTTAAATCTCGCTCGGCTCGAGCCCTATCCGCCTCCCCCCTTATGGTAAAACCTATCTTGGTGTCGTCGGCAAATTTACTTATCTTACCCTCTACGCCGAGATCCAAATCGTTTATGTAAACCAAAAACAGAAGCGGTCCAAGGACCGAGCCTTGAGGGACACCGCTTGCGACTCCGACCTCCTTCGACGTTTCCTCATTTATCATCACTCGTTGCTCTCGTCCTGCCAACCAACTACTGATCCACTCGCTCGTCCTACCCTGGATCCCGTGCGCCTCCAGTTTTCTGTTATTTGACTGTTATCAGTCCTGTTATTTGAGAACAAGTTTCAAGAAGCAATCAGAGAGTGCAATCATCCCATTCTGCAGCATGGCTGCAATCAACAGATTTCCTGTGTTGGATACTATCCACTTGTAAGAGATGTGTTGAAGCTGGATTTGTTTTATTTTTTCCCTAAAGTACTGTTTAAGTTGATCAAATGATATGATATCAATATCACAAAATGTCACAAAAATGAATGAGTCTTTAATCTGATGTGAACATAACGGGGTGGCACTTCCACCTTTGCCAATTCTGGGGGTCTTATTTCTGGGTGGCTTTTTTCCTGACTCCAGGAGATGGATGCACTTTGATCTGAGTTGTAGGACTGAAGCCTCAGTCCCCCCCTTCACTACATCACCAGTCACGGACCATCTCCAAGAACTGCAATCCCCAACCATTGCCCACCACTAAAGTCACCATGCCACCAGCTGCAGCAAGTGACAATCAGAAGGATTCCCTTACATAGCATTGCAATATCCTTTTAATGCTTTTCAAATCCATCTACTAATGATTGACCTGCAACACCATCATTTCCCTTTAGCAAAACAATCAATGAAATTAAAGGTAAATAAATGTCAAAAGTGCAGTCATCTGTAAACCTAAGCCACATGGTCCTTTCCCATCAAAAATTTCCAGAAGATACAGTAACACCAAAATACTGACTGGTATTATTCCAAATTTAATGAAAACTTTTCAACAAGTACAAACAATGCAGCAACAGGGCTGACATCTTTGGTTTGAGATCAGATGCAATGGCAACCGTTGGGAATGCTAGAATCACTTGAAAGAAAGAGAAGTGATTAGGAAGCAAGAAAAGACTGGTTGACATTGCAAATTTAATTCAATTTTCATGATTTCCAGAATAAAACATATTGCAAAAAGGATCCAACATCTTTCAGATATCTGACATAAAGGAACCCAAGTGAAAAGGATGGCATCACTTTCATGAAAGAGATGAAAGGAATGCTAGAAAAGCATGATTGACAGAGTCAAAGCTTCACAGAGCAACAAATGCAAACACTGGTTTTAGTATTTTCCTTAGTTTGAGATTCCTGACAAGATGATCAATTCAATGAAAGAGAGGTGAGGAGTTGAGAAGCCTTCTCTGCATGGATAGAGGAGGATAGGGCCTTCAATGGCTCTTCAAGAGATGCCTTCCATGCCTCCTTATCTTCAGTGCTCACTGAAAAGAAAATACCTCCAATTTTTACACACCTTCCTTTCAAGAATATCCAAGAGGTGACTGCATTCAGAAAATAAATTTGGTCAAGTCTCCTTGAACTTCAAGGATTCAACTTTTGGACTAAGTTAACTCCTGATTCTGTCCTTCAGGCAGCTCACACATGCAGAGATAACTACCCTTGTATCAAAAACTCCCATTATTCCACAGCTATTGTGAAATGGGAAAGAGAATGCTCCTCGGAATCATATAATGCTGCTGCCACCTGAAGATACGAGGGTTGATTGGAAAAAATGTTTACAAGGTCTAGTACAGAAGAACCACGAGGTGGGCAGCGTAGACGTGCAATTTGCGATATTAGGGGTGCCACACTTTTCAAAAATGCGCAAGGCGTCACTTGTACCTCTCATGCCAGGTGAGCAGTGCAGTCTTGAAATGGCAAAGTGCTTTGAAAATTGGTCCTGCATTGAAATCCAAGGTACCTTCCTTTTTTTGTGGGCCCAGCACACCTCCACTGCAGAAATTCATAGTCTGCTGTTGGAGGTGTATGGGGATGGTATGTCAACCAGACAACTGGTAGCCACATGCTGCAGACAATTTGTGGGTGAACGAGTGTCGACAGTTGACAAGAACAAGTAAAGCAGTGGCAGGCCTTGCAATTTGTCAAAAAAAGACAAAGTAGTTCGTATTGACTGACTAATTCCGGAAGACTGACTAGGATGATGGGTACTAAGCAACTCTGCAACACCAGCTTGGAGTAATCCGGCGAAGAAGGTAAGGTTGTCTAACACAACGTTCTGTTCCATGGTAACACTCATCCTCATGTGGCACAGCTGCTGCAGAATATGGGGTGGGGGTTCTTCAATGCCAACCCTACAGCTTTGATTTTCAACCAAGTGATTTCCATTCATGAAAAAGCACCTTGGTGGCTGTCATTTTCGGTCGGATGCTGAGGCGGTGAAAGAGGTTCAGACATGACTGTCTGCATAAGACATGGAATTATACACTGCCCCCAATGAAAATCGTATACCACGGTGGGATAAATGCTCACCATCCAATGGGATTATGTGGAAAAGTAGATCCCTCTGAGTGCTCTATGCAGTACGTGTACTGTTTGGTTACAATAAATACAAACACTTTGGACGCTGGTTGTAAAGTTTTTTCCAATCACCCCTTGTATATATAAGATCTGGGGTGGATTGCATAAAATTGACTTTTTAGCATCATGAAGCTTTAAACTTCCATTAGCTCTGCTAAAGGAGGTGTAAAGCTTTATTATGCTAAAGTCAGTTTTACGCAATCCATCCCTGTTCTCTACAAGGGACATTATGTTTAGAAACTTAAGCTACTTGCATCAAACATTGAAATCATCCTGTAATATAGTGAAAAGTTGAAACTTTCAATGAATACACAATCTTGAGGTTCTATGGGTAACAAAGGATTAAGGACTTACAAGGGTGATCTTTTGATTTGTTAAGGAGAGCCACAAGGAAAGCAAGGACATTGTCAGTGACCTCCCTGGGGCGGCCACTTGCCAGGAGCACAGCTTGGAGTCTGTCTCTGTTGGAGGTGTGCATGAATTCAGGGGGTAGCTCAGGACCAAGAAAAGTGGCAGCCAGGGTGCAAGCCCCAAGGGCCTCCACTTGCATCAGCACATGCTCTGATTCCACCATTTCCAGCAGGACCTCAAACACTCCTGGGATGGCCTTCAGCCTCTCTGCTGTCTCCTTCTCCCTGTAGGCAAGACGGTAGGCTTCAAAAACTTCTGCTGTGAAGCAATGCATCATGACAGCTAGAAACCTTTTGGAAGGATGCTAAGAATGCATGAAGGAAGCTCTTTGAATGATGCAACACTTTGCATGTGTTACTTAATCTGGAAATCTGGGATGCACCTAATCAACTCCCCTATGAGAAACTACATTTGGCGACAAAAAACTTAACAAACCTGGTACAGGCCTATCTCAGTCCAAAATAATGCAGTGCAGTGGTTTCTTCATTCATGAGATATTCAGGAGAGTTTTCCACTGAAGCTTAACACCAAGCAAACAAGCTTATACCAAGTGTTTATTAACCCTGGATAGAAGAAATCCAATCCAGGGAAGCAGAACGAGTTCTGCTTACATGGAATGGCGCAAGATGGCAGCAAGGAGCCGGGAAGCTTCAGCTTGCACACCGGGATGCTGGTCCTGCTTCCCCCAAGAGACCACCTGCCGGAGCAACCCATTCTCCTTCCCCAGGGCCATAGCTCCCTCCTCTGCAAAGACAACCAATCCAATGTTCACTCTTGAGAAATCCCATAGGGGGCAGGAAAGGGAAGATAACCTCATCTTTTGACATACTTTGACCATGGATGGCAAGACGAAGTGTTCCAAGCAGCTTGAAAACAACAGGAAAGGCCTGGATGTCCTTCAGTGGAAGCAAGGCCTGAAGTAGTCCATAATCCCACAGCTTCCTCTTGTTTTCTTTAGGGATTGCCAGGTTCCTACCATGGAAATGAGAAGTACAAGAGTTCCAATGTGAAAAAAAACAGAGGAATCTTTCACTAGTTGGAAATTAAAAGTTACAGGAACTGGCACAGAAGCTACACAAATCCTGCCACTAAATAACACACTTGAACATTTCAAATGTGATGTGGGCCAGAGAAGACCAATATAAATTAATTGCATATGAAATGGGCTAATTATTTTTTGTACAGGTATTCAATATACAGCCATAAAGTACAAGTGTGGGAGATCTTAAACACATCAACTAAAATATCTCACTTTACTCAATATAAAATTATTTCTTGAAAATGATGTCACACAAGAGGTTTCCATTTTTAGCTTCACATTGTCATCACATTATTTCCAAAAGGGTGTTAAGGCCTCCCTGATGTTATCCTTGAGTTGAACCAGGGTGGAAGGCTTGTTTTGGTATACAGTTGACTTCAAAGTTCCCCACAAAAAATGTCAGGGGGTGTCAAATTGGGACTTCTCACCAGTCAATGAATGCCTCCAAACCAGGACATGAGGTGACTGGGAAACAACATAAGCTTAGAATGGAGACCATCTGCATGACAACATTTTCAAGATACAGTGGTACCTCGCATAACGAACGCAATTCGTTCCAGCGGTGCGTTCGTTATGTGAGGTGTTTCTTTATGCGAAACACGATTTCCCATAGACTTCTATGGGAAATCATGTAATCCATTCCACGTCGCCGCGAAAAATCAAGGAAATTAGGAAAAAATGTTTCACTTTCACTTGCAAAGACCTCGCATAACAAACGCACCACTGGAACGAATTGCGTTCGTTATGCGAGGTACCACTGTACAATTATGTATTGAGTAGAGTGAGACATCTGTTTTATGTGCTTTATGTGCCTGTCAGACCTGAATTAAGGCCACTATCAGAATAATATCATTTTCTGCATTTTTGAGCTATTTCACTATTCTAATTTGAAATTTTACGTTTTTTACTTTGTATAAATTTACCATATCATACCATATATAGTATATTATACATTTTATTAGATAACTGACGATTAAAAAACTGATGGGTGAAAGAAGGCCTCTGATGGAATCAAAGCATGCATAATTGCATCCATTGTAGTGTAATGTGGGGCATAAAGTCACAAGAATCCCAAGAAATTACCACAGACACAATGAAAATGCAATGTCCACTGGAATAGATGCCAGGTCTGAAAGGGTTAAGATCTCCCATGCTTGTACTTAAACAGTATATTGAATACCTGTACCACAAAAAATTTTAAATAGGCAATCAATTTGTGCCAGTCTTCCCTGACCCACCCTGGATAAGAGAGGAATTTCTGAACCACGTGGTTTTGAAATACAGTATAATTCTGTGGATTCACAATCCATGTCACTCCAACAGATACTTCCACATTCAATTATTTTGATCAAAAGCCCATGATCCAACCCCACACCTGAGTGTTCCAAGACAAGCATGAAGGAGAGGGAGATCGTGCTCATCTGCCTTGATAGACTTCAGGACCTTCAAAATGGACTGACCCACACTCATCTCCAGCATCTCAATGCTGCTCTTGTCTAAAGAAAAGAATCCTCATTCTATTATACTTTCCTTCCCTGTATTGAGACCATCTTGGACTCTTGGGGCAGGTGGGGCTACCATTTCGTGTGAAGTTCGCCATGGCTAGAGCAGCTGTGGCCTGGAGTCCTGGGACATCAAGCCAGGACTTCAACTTCAAGAAATGTTCCCCCATTCCATCCTGATACAGCACCTCAGCACATTCATCTGAAGGGGCCAAAATAAGCAAACAAGCTCAAAGGTTGCAATGCAACCATCAAAAGATAATAGAGTTAAAAATAAAAAATTTTAACAAATAAATTCAAACCTTCATTAAGGGTAAGTACAAGAAGATCAGAGGAGGTACTGAGGACATTCTGCCAAGAGTGATCCTCTTCTCGCTTTGATGAAGGGATACGCTCCAGGAGTGAGATAAGTGCTTTGCAAATGTTGGCTTTAGTCTCTGCCAAGCCCTCAGAGTCTGCAACAAATAAATTAACATGCTTAACACACTGAGACCAATGTCAATCATGTTCAAAAAAGGAAATGTTCACCTGAATCCAAGCATCAAAAACCAACCTTTGTCTAAAATTGAGTTGAGAAGTTCCAATGACAATTCTAGCACTTCCGCTGATTCAGCAGCAGCAAGCAATTGTGACAAGGGCTGTAAGAGATCCATTCGAGTCAAAAGACCCCTCCCCTCTTCTGAAACAGACCAGGATCACAGTCCATCAGGTGAGGCAGTATTGTATGTGATGATGGAATGAATGAAGAACTCCTCATCACCTGAATCCGCCACACAAGAGAGGACAGTAAGGATGTGTATTGTGGAGTCCACTTCATCTTGATGCATAGAAAGATATTGCAGCAGAATGTCCAAAACTCCAAGTTCCAGAACCTGAAAAAGTCAAAGAGAGTGAAAAGAAATACCATAGTTGTAAATAGCATCTTTTATATTCACAGGCTCACAACCCTCCACGTTGTCAAGCAAAATCTAGACTATGTCAATATTGTCATATTCCTCATAATGTGCATAACCAAACCTAAGCCCAAAGATCAAATCTTGATGAGCAAAGCACATTAGAAGAGGTAGGAGTTTAAAAAAAAGTCAAGCGTCCCACTTTGACATAACAATACTTCAGGTTTTCAGCTCTTCCTAGGCTTGAAGATGGTTTCCCCTTTTCACTTGAATTGTAACATCATCCAGTTTTTTATCCATTCTTCTTGAGCACAATTTGAATGGATTTACATTTGGGAAAAAAAGCATTAAAATATTCCACTTCTCTAAAGAAAACCATATTATTTTTTGCTTGCTGAAACATTCCTGGAGCTAAAAATTTATGGAAATGAAAGGTTCCAAGCAATACATGCCAATCCATTTCTGTAGCCTTTGAGATAGGCTTATTTGCAAAAGAAAATTTCATAAGTAATTGCCAAGGAGAAACACTGTTCTTGTCATAGTCAGAACCAGTGAGTACAATCCCTTACACTTTTCAGAGATTTAAACGTGGAAAGCTCTAATAGTTATAAGAAAAATTTTGAAAAGAATGGATGGAAAATGAGAGAACTCTGAAAACATATCTCACCTAATGTGTGGGACAGGGATCCCAAGCATAACCAAATGGTTGGGAAAATAGCCACAAATTTTACTGTTTATTTGGTTAGGCCTGAGGACGACCAAATTTATGTCCTAAGCCCTTCAGGTAGGTCTAAGCTAAACCCTTGTTAAAAGTCAGTGCACAAAATTCTGCTGGTTTATCATAGGCCTGCAATAGCCTAGCCAGGACCAAGTCTTAATGAAAGAGAAATTGAATTCCCTCACTTTATTCTGAGAAGGCTCATAGTCATTGATGAGATTGAGGATGAACCCCGTAACTGCACTACGAAGCATCCTGGAATCTGGAGATGAGCAGCCGAGACTCTTTCTCAACACATCTAAGACTTTCTCCCCCCCTCCATGGTCCAAAACAGTTCTTCTCCCAGCATCTGCAAGACATGGGTCTTTCATCACCTCAAGCCCAGCATAGGAACAGAGTTGAGCTTTCAACTATTCTACCAATACTTTGCCAGTTAATTCATTCATGAGCCACATGTTCTGAAGAATGAAATACATCCAGACCTTCTCCAACCAAATGTAACCATGGCAACTAATTACTCATTTCAATTATGAATGATACTGTCTGGGAAAACCTTTTTTAAATTACATATTGTTTAGCATGCCATGTAAAGCTATGAATATTTCCATGCAAAAAGAACCCAATCAAACGGGCAGAAAATAATTCGGTGCTGAAAGAGCTGAAGTAGGCCTACCGGATTCATAACAGAGGTTGGCCAAGGCCCTGCAGGAATGCACGGCCAATTCGGCCTTCTCGGCGCTCATGCACGACAACAACTGCGAGGGAATGTCCGGACGGCGATCTAGGATCGTCTCGCGTGCATTTTGAGACTTGAGGAGCTCTGCCAATAATTTGGCACACCCGGTCTGCCTCTTCACGTCGTCGCTGCCCAGGGCCTCACTCATCTGGGAGAACACAGTCTCCTGAAGCAAGTTTTCTTGGTTTATCCTCAAGGCCTCCCCCTTCGCGGCTTCTTCCGCGGACACCCACGAGTCCAACGCGTCCGCAAGTGACGTCTGCATCCCGCGATCGCGAAAGAATCGTGACGGAAAATCACGATTGTCACGTGCGAATCACGGCGACGTATGTCGGGGGCGGGAGACTCGAGGCAACTGCAGTCTCTACTCCTGTTTAAAGAGAGCGCAAACCTTACTTCTCGTACTAGAGGCTAGATGACGTTCTACGTCGGAACAGGAAGAAGGAAGACTGCACACGTTACCATCCACTTCAGGCGACGAGAAGAGACAAAGTTGGGGAGATCTGCCTCCACGGGTGAGTGGCGCTGTCGGTTGCGAGACCCGGATTGATAGACTGTTTTTCTGAACCGATTGAAGGCCTTTAAGAGCTTGAACTCTGGTGAGTCAGTCTTTATCACCAGGAAGGCTGCACCCGGATGGCCTATGTTCTTGCGTGTTCTATATTTGCCCTATTTTCCAAGTATGCTGTCTTTTCCGGTAATTCTAACTTCGAGCTCTTGTTTCCTTGATTTTGGGGCCGCGTTCCCGCACACTGGTGAAGCCTGGGGAAGGGGTTCGAAGGATATGAAGCGCCCCCCTCCCGCCCTGCCCATGATAGCATCGTCTTGGTCCACCGATCCCCCGAGGATTGGAGGACGCAGAGATAACACCATGAGGTCATTAAAGACGAAGATGGAGAAGTACGTGAAAGCGAATTTTCAGCCTATTCAGTGAAGTCAGGGCTATGTCACAGAATTAGTTTTTCTCTTAAAGTTATTTATTTTCTGATTTCGATTGTGGTTTTATCATTTACCTTTTAATTTTTGTTTTCCCTATTTCATACAATTTTGTTTCGTTTCATTTTCCGATTAGAAATGCTGTTACCTTTGAACGGGACAAAGCTACTCGTTTGGCAAGAATGCACTTTCGTAACTGTTTTTCTCAACGTTGAACTGCATACTCTTAGAACAGTGGTTCTTAACCCCTGGGTCGCGACCAAAAATTGGGTTGCCAAGCCATTTTGAGTGGGTCGCCAAGAGTCTCTAGTGGCTGTCTGAACTTTCACATATCATTTATCACAAGTGAACTGTTTGCGGGTATGGGTCACCGAGCTAACCCCGCGACCAGAATTTGGGTCGCATCCAAAAAAGGTTAGGAACCACTGCTCTAGAATTTGCATGGGAGCAGTTGCCATTTCGACTCGAATCCTCCAACGTCCATTCGAATTTGGCAATTTTTCTTTCGTTGCTACCATGTCAATAGCCAAGTCATTTCTCAGACAGCAAGCAAATTCAGATAATAATTTGTTTTTCACAATCACACATTTTTCACAAAATGAAAAACAAAAGCGCGAGGAATCAGCAACATCCTGGAAAAGTCCATCCATTACATTACTTGGAGGAAGAGGACACATTTAAAAATACATTTGCCCTGAAAAAGCCGTTTTTCCCTAAGTATCTGGCCTAAAACCTATAAATTTTACATTTTAAATGATTCGTCTCGCCGCTGTGGCCAAGGCAGGAACAGATTCCCCTCCCGCGTTCTCCAGCGCATTCAGCCGCATGTGAAGGCCACCACCACACGAATGCAATCTCGGACCCTCCTAACCAGACCCTCTAGGGAAAACTTATCACCGAAGAGAGAAAATGGTTCCGACAAGCTTTATCAGGGCCAACAAAGTGGAGGCTAGATGAAAACGAACGAGTGGAAGTACGCTCAACACAACGCGATAAACGAGACATTTTGTGCAAGGCGAGTGAAGCTCCCTCGTTTCTCTGATTCCTCCGGATGAAGGACAACCCCATCCCGCGTTGTGCCAGTCCTCGCCTGCCATCCATCACCAGCGTCTTCTGCGAGGGCGAAGGGAGAATGACATCCGTCAGACAGAATGGAAAGCTATTCCAAGTAAAAGCTGAAGATCGATTGCGGGTGGCTGCTCTCCCCCCCTTCCTCTTGTGTATCGTTTTAAGTCCTTTCCCATATTGCATCCGCGTCATGTCCTCAATTTCGAGTACCGTTGCTCCGCTTTTTTGGCCTGGTAATGTCCAGTGGAAGGAATACAGATCAGGAGATGACAATCTCTGCTGGCGGCTCCGACCCTTCAAGACTCAGTCCCGTCGAGGCATATTTGGATCCGGGAGATCATCGTCGATCGATATTCATTCATTCCGAGCAGATAGTACCATAAATATATGTGCTCGTGGTATACTGAATTTCACAGCCACCACCGAAGTGGACTTGATTGAGAACTGCTCCTCGAAAGTAAATCTGGCATGTTGCCAGGTCTTTTTCGGCAGAATGCAGAGGGATCAATGCAGAATACCAAAAAGGCCTATTAATGCTCAAGGAAATCGATTCTGTACTTCCAGCAATATTCCATTAAAAATATACATGAATCGAGCACGAAATAGGATATAGCGGTAAAGAGAATAAATAGTGACCCAAAATATTAACAATGCCTTGTAATTCAAATGATTGAAAAGTAGACCTAACAATAACTTTATGACTACTTCATTCCCTACACATTTTCATAACTCAGAAATTCTAAGCAGGCCTAGGCCTTTTATGTTTTTCTCATTTAATCTTAGCGCAAAAATTCCAGGCTGTCCAACTCGGTCCTGTGGCGATTGATAGGTCAACGGTTCAAGTTACTTGATATTTAGGCGAAATTGGTGTGATGGCAAATTCCGTATTTAAAACAAATGACATGACAAATGGAGGACTTTTTACTATTATTATTAAATCAGATTATCGATAAATTTGAATTCAGGGTATTGCCAATGTACTTTTGGCTCTCTGTGATCCACTTCACTTCGAAATGGGGCACGAAATCCTGGCCACTCCAGACAAGGTCACACGATCATTCGGCAAGCCTTCACAAGATCTTTCGGAGCAGGCAGGGGAAAGCCACTACCGAACGTGTATATCCTCACGACTTCCCATCTCGTCCCATCAAAGGCTTCTATGGAGAGATTCTGCCGTCCCCCCACAGCGTGCAGGGTTCCGTCCAAGAGAAGAAGACCGTGCGAGTTTCGTCCTTCAACCATGCTCGGCCGCTCCCGCCAACCGTTTCGCCTGATGTCATACACATACACCTCTCGCTTGTCCCCGACTTGGTCACATCCTCCAGCCAGGACGAGATCGTTCTCTTGAGATAGGAGAGCAGGATTCACTCGGCCTTGCGGGAGGTCGGCCAGCTCTTCCCATTTTGAGGTGCGGAGGTCCAAGCGTTCGTACTTCTTCAGTGGCCCATTGTTCCATCCGCCGACGACATGCAGGCAGGAGTCGTTGTAGCATGCTCCTGCACCGTGCCAATCCGAACAATCCTGTGTACCTTCTCCTTCTTTTATTATCGAAGGAGAACCTTGTTTCTTCTGAATGGATCGTCTCTGGGATCCCCTTCCAAGTCCCAAGGGAGGGGCAATCCTGGGGAACTCAATATTGGTTTGTGAATTTCGGCTTAACGGGAATGGCTCCAAGTCGAGGGGAGACTTCTTACTGTGTGCCTTCTGACCAAAATGGTCCATAAAACCATGTGGAATGTCTTGAAAGTGCACGGCCCCGATCATGTGGGGGGTGATACATTCTGCACCATTCCGCGCATACTTCATGTCGCTCAGTCGCATCCATATCCCTGATTCCACGTTGTAATGAAATGCCCACTTTTGACTCCCCTTCCGATCCTTTCCTCCGCAGACGAACAAGGAGTTAGAGGAGGCAGCATTCGCCGGGTATCGAACGTAAGTGAGCGGCGTGGGCCCTTCCTTCCACTCCCGCTTATCCACATCAAAGATCTTCATCTCGCCCATCCCCGTCACGTAGAGCCTCCTGTCGATTCCCGCGAAGGCTCGCCAAAAGTCCCCATCCTCACTGTATGGATAGCGAGTGACCTCGTCGAAGTTCCAACTGCTGGGGTCGATTCGGTAGATCCTCCGTTCCTTCTTCTTCTCTCCCAGACACCAAAACTTAGTGGAGAGAAATCCGCGCGACTTCGTTTTGTCTCGTGGAACGGTATGGCGAAACTCGGCACTGTGGTAATCCCTCGCATCCATGACAACATCGAGACAACTTAAATCCTTGCGAATCGTGGGATCCTTGAAAACGACCGTCTTCAAGTACTCATAAGGCAAGAGAGGGAGTCGGACCTTGTCGAGAATATCCGGCAAGTGGCGCTGACGGCTTTCGCTGTGATCCAACCACGTTTTCGTTGCCTCGTAAACGTCTTTCTCGGAGGAGACTTCCAAATCATCTCGATCCAAAAACAATGCCAAGGTCTCGAAGGAGACATTCAGAAAATCCTTAGTGCGGATGACCTGCTTGAAACGAACCGATATGAGACCGATGGCAGCGTCCCTCAAATCCTCGCACTCGTACTGCTCCGCAATGCCGAGGATACGAAACGCATTGTCGGGATTCAACAACCCCTTGACGATGTTACTCATTTTGTCGCGGAGACGTTTGAGCCCCAGGAAATGAGCATCTCGAAGAGTGGCCAATGCCCCTTCCTCTCCTTCCACTTGGAGACTCGTCCCATGGATGTAATCCCAAACCGGCTGGAATCCCATCGTGGTGAAGCCTTCCAGTCTGATCTCCCTCTGGAGAGAGTCCTTGAAGTCGGCGGAGAACATCTGTTGAAAGTAGGGGGAGACGGAGGCCAGGATCCCCTTGTATGAATAGAATTTCTCGTCCTGGATGAATATGACGACGTCGCACCAATTGGGTCCAGTCTTGAAGCACGCGGAAATGTCAGTCGCCAACCCAATGTGATCGTCCAAGTCCTTCTCGATCACAATCGTCTTCTTCTGGGCCACTGCTCTCATTCTCGGTCGTGGTTCAGGTCCTAGTCGAGGCATTTTGAGGGAAAAGCCACTTCGAATATCGATGAAGCAGACTCTGAGATACTCGCAACGCACTCCAGACAAGTAGCACTGAAAGATACCGGGACAGAAATAGAAACGGAAAAGCGCCACAATCGGCGATATGAGAGATTTACATCCATTCAGGAAGGCAATTAGATCTAGGAAAGAATGGAAGCGATAACGGCATCTCCGTAGTAACGGATAACG